TACTTGTTCTAAAAGCTTAAGCTATTAGAGTGGGCCACATATCATTTCAACAAAAAGTAACGAGAGAGACACACACAAACAAGACTAGGGGGATATATGATGAAATAAGCGGAACGAGCAAAGATTTTGCATTCATACAACATTGATCATGGTTGCTACAGTATTGTTTAGCAAATAGTGAGTTCTCATTGTTTTTATGAATATGTAATTTTCATGAATTTCAAAGAAATTAATGTGGCCTAGATTCCAGCACTCGAATTTCCTGCCTAAAACAAGGGAGTCAATGAAGGTAACAAAATAGTTCGGCGATCATGACATTCTTCTCAACATTCAATAGCCCCTAAATCTCTACTATACTTAACTTTCGAATCTTGTGTGATAGAAAAAAAGGAGTGTGAATTTTATCTTTATGTTTGATATGCAGGTAACTCTATTCCATTTTGAAGATAAGCCTCGACATGGTGCTTCAGATGTCATAAAGGCATTGCAAGATAATGGAAAGCTCCGTGTCATGATGTTAACTGGTGACCATGAGTCAAGTGCATGGAGAGTGGCAAATGCTGTGGGCATCGAAGAAGTTCACTGCAGCCTTAAGCCTGAGGATAAACGCTATCACGTTTCATATATATCCAGAGATTCAGGTGCTTATCTCTTTCATATTCAGTCCCTAGTAGAGTTGACCATAGATTATTCATGCTCATGCCACCGTGTTATTAGTAGCAATACTTATATTCAAGTTTATGACCTCCAGTCATGCCTAGCAAGAATCTATCAACTCGCTCCTTTTTCTGGTGATGATCATTTGTGACGGTACGTTCTTTCAGAATTGACTATTTGTACCTCTGTTAGAGGTGTTCCAGAAATGTCTACGATCGAGTAAATAATTCTACGAAGGAATGGATCGTATCAACTTGGAAAATTGAAAGATTTGTACAAGTTATACGTTTCGTCACTTCGATTGATTTTCGCTGATATGGAAGGAATGTTATAAGGGCAAATTCCACATCGAGTATAGATAATATTAATAGACTACATATGAGGACCCAATAAGCTAAAATGAACATTCGGATTACATGACTGGTTTGATCAAAAGAGCCATCATCTTACATGGACATGTTGAGGGTATATTCCACGTTGAATAAAGACGAAAATAATATACAACACATAAGGATTTGGACTAATCTTCTTAGCAAAGTGGGCTTTTTAAGAAGGATTGAGGCCCACATAAGACGAGCATCAGAGTGAGGCTAGCAAAAAATGCTTCAAGGTGCTTATTTTTTAGGCAGTTTTTGTAGGCCTATTGTAACAGACCTCCCGTTCGGCCCTTGAGGTTTCAAGGACCCCCAAGACAGCCTACCCCACACATGCGACCAGCAAGCTTAGATATGCAACATAAGCACAATATAGGAATAGAAAGCATGTCATCAAAACCTGAGAGACATCGTCAGTGCACTTCCGAGAAATATAGCAATAAACCCACAATAGGCTATTTTGCCATGCCACATGGGTAGGGGAATTCTCTAGGTCCGTGACACACTCCCCCACTCAATCCGCTAACGTCCTCGTAGCGGACATGTGCTTCGCGCCTTCAGGCATTGCATCCTCCCTTCACGTTAGTGGGTTCAAAATTTTCTCCACAACAACGACATCATCCCCCTAGATGTACAGGCGTCCACAGTGCCCCCTGCACCTCTTCCCGCAGTACTCCTCGTACATGTCGCCTTCAACACCACCTTCACCCTATGCCCCTGGCATTAGTTTCTCAGTGGACAGCTCCCCTGGCCGCTGCATCACATGCATGTCGAAGTACAATCACAAATGCCCCCACTATAATCAGTTTCCACCGCAATGCCTCGATCAAAGCTCGTGCAAAGCAACATTCATGCAGTAGGCAAAATCGCTTACTGGATGTCCCCTAACATCCATCATCCTCAAAGCTTTCCATCCTCGCTTCCCACTTACCGACCGCTTTGTCTCATTTTGGAGGCCGCAAGATCTTCTCTGCAGGAACGTACGTTGCTAGCCTTGGATAACCAACAACGCAACATTTGGAGCAGACCGGTTCTGATACAACTTGTAACAGACCTCCCGTTCGGCCCTTGAGGTTCCAGGGACCCCCAAGGCAGCCTACCCCACACATGCAACCGGCAAGCTTAGATATGCAATATAAGCACAACATAGGGATAAAAAGCATGCCATCAAAACTTGTTAAAGGGATATCGTCAGTGCACTTCCGAGAAATATAGCAATAAACCCGGAATAAGCTATCTTGCCATGCCACAGGGGTAGGGGAGCTCTCTAGGTCTGTAACACTACGCTTCAGTTGTGCCTTACAAACCTTGATGCTTCGCAGTACCACCTCAAGGCTTGTGAGGTATGCACTCCTTAATTCTTCAGACTTATTTGCTTTGATTTATGTGTAAACCCATTTTGGGAATAGCCCATTTCCCTCTAAAACACACAATTTGTGTTTCTCATATGCTCACTTTGAGAATAGTTCATTGTCCCACCAACTAAATTAATAGTTTTTATTTTTTGGTCAATTAATAATTATTTTTTATTTTTTTATGTTTGCATACCTTTAATTGTTCATTATGAATATTGCTCATTGTTTATGGTTTATTAAGTTTATTTTGCATTTGAATAATTTGTTCTTGCCTCATGAAGGAAAAACGCCTTAGTACCCAATTACGCGTTTTTAAACATTAGGTGCTGTAATATAACATGTTCTATTTGTGTGGCTGAGATTTTTCTTGAAATATGTCATCAATAAATATAACCTAATATAGACTTTGCATAATTTGCATTTGTAAATGTACTTGAGAGTTACATCACTCCATTATAGTATCTTCGTTTAGCTGGACATTGGAAATTGATTTCTTGTGTACAGTTAACCATGCATATCTAATTGCTGATTGCAAGTTACACAAAAGAATAAATATAGAATTCATGAGGATCTTCTTCATCTTTTGAATTTTGGGGCAGGGGGGGGCCTTATAATGGTAGGCGATGGTATCAATGATGCACCTGCCCTGGCGGCTGCCACTGTGGGTATTGTTCTAGCTGAACGTGCTAGTGCATCTGCTATAGCGGTTGCAGATGTGATGTTACTGCAGGACAATATTTCGGGGATTCCATTTTGTGTTGCTAAATCTTGGCAAACGACTTCATTGGTATTTCATTTTCCTTTTCTTTGTTTTCGTGCGTGTGCATGCTTTGAACTGTCCAATTTATTTGCAATTTTAATGCTCCTTCACTGGCAGGTTAAGCAAAATGTGGCCCTTGCATTATCTAGCATTGTTCTGGCATCTCTTACATCCGTTTTGGGTTTTCTCCCTCTCTGGTTAACGGTATGTTATATCCAAGAATTTTATTTTGTGTACGCGTGCTTCAGTTTTCATTACTTTACACTATTGCCTTTTTTGTCTTGCGTCAAAGAAAATGTGTTACGAACTGTGTCAGCTAGATAACTGCGTAGGATATTTGTGACTGAAATTTTTTCTTATGTTAACACTCAAAACTCATACTTGATATTTTTATCTTTACATTAACATTCAGGTTCTTTTACACGAAGGCGGTACTCTTCTTGTTTGTCTGAATTCAATCCGGGGTCTACATGACCCAACTTGGTCCTGGAGGAACAATATTCAGACACTCATCGAAAAATTAAAATCACTATTTCTACTCTTCAAAAACCACGGCACCATCCAAGCTGCACCATTGTAGTTACACGCACCATTTGCCGTCATATTTTGGTGGTTTTCGTGTCCTTGCAACTGTTTGAATAGATAGGATTGAATTCTCTTCAGGTAACCACAAAGCATTGAAGTCCATTGTTAAAAGTTTGAGGTGGACTGGCAAATGTAGTTATTTCACCTGTAAATACCTTTATGAAATTTGCTTTCTTTTGTTGTTCGAAAATGACAACCCCATCGATATCAAAACGAATATATGCAGCAGCTTATCATTATCATCACAATCTGTGTTTTCTTGTTGAAGCTTCCACTTTCGAAGTCAATTTTGAACATGGAATGGAATTGTATTTTTACCTTTGGTTATTCTCAATGCTTTTGCAATTTCAAGTGGTTTTCTTTCCATGTGGATTGGGATATTTACCATGACAATTCTCAGTATACAATATATAAAGAAAATGCAGTGAATTTCATTTTTTCTAGATATTAATTTGAATAGATAATAATTGCAAATTACTTGAATAAGAGTAATCAAAAATTCTTCCTAGAAAAATTTTAGAAGTTAAATTAATAAAGCAAGTACAAATAATGATCAATCTTCAATTTACCCATTTATTCCATTTAAAAAAAAATATTGTTAGTATTATCTAATCGTTAATATTCAATTTACCCATTTAATTTCGACGTCAAAATCTCAAGATCGAGAGAAGATTTTGTAATTAAGTTCAATGAATAATTTCATTTTCACCGTACAGATTTCCAATTTTTCCAACCTGGTTATGAACAGAATGCAGTCATATATAGCAGTAAAAGAGGCCCCACTTTAATGTCCACTGATTCATTATAGTCCAGAATTTTGATCATCCAAATCCACTTTCCTTCTTTCTTTCAATTTTGTTTTGGAATATCTATCTGCATTTATGTACAGCAACAGGAATAATCTCAAGTCTGTCACCAATAAGCATATCCATACACAGCTGTAATCTTGGGAAATAAAAACCAACTTCAATTTCTGTTAATTGTGATATTAAAATAAAGAACATGAGGCAAACACAGAAATGAACTTGGACTCGATTGAACTTGTGATTTTTTTTTTTTTTTCCTTTTTTTCTTTTTGAGTTTTCTCAGAAATGGATAGCAAAGATTCGAACTTTTTCCTCCCTCGCCTCTCTTTCAACAACTTAATTTTCTACCCATCTCTTTTGTTCTCCCTGTACACTAATCAAAATTATTTCTTTTGATAATATTTTCAACTTCTTTAATCAGAAACGAAGATGGTTTCTTCTCCCCCTCCCTCCAAAAACTAAATTAATCAATTCTACTGATTCCAATGCGATTCATAGTTGCATTCCTGAATCCTTCATTTGCATTTGCTTGCTGCATGCACAACCCAATCTGTTGCTGATGCTGATGCTGTTGCTGATACTGTTGTTGCTGAAATTGCTGTTGGATATATTGCAGTTGCTGCTGCTTTTGCTGTTCTAGCCCCATCATGTAACTTCTAACCTCTGTTCTTATCATGTCCTGCATCACCGACATCAACTCTGCGGTAAAAGGAACAAAAACTTTATCTTGCTGATGTTGAATCTGCATCGGTGGTGATGGCGGTGGTACCACCGCGGAAGTTGATCCAAATGTCGCCTTTTGTTCAGTTGGAGTTTGAGGTTGGATTGCAGTAGCAGCTTTAGCCTGTGGCAATGCTGCTGGAGCCGGTGGAGGCAGAGGCAGTGGCGGTGGTTGGACAGAGAGAAGTTGGAGGGGACTTTTAGGCTGAGTTGAGTCAAGCTTGGAATTCGAGTCAACTCCGGGAAGCGACAGGCTGAGAGAAGTCGGAGGATCATTAGTCGATGACCCGGTTTCGACTGGAGACGAGAACAGGACGCCGGCTCTTGCAACCGATTTAAAAACATGAGAAGCTGACATCACCGGTAAACTTGACTCGCTGGCATCCGACCCGGTTGGGCTACCAGGATTCAAGTAAAGACCCGAGACATGAACGCCCGACCCGGCACTGACGGATCTCTTCAAAGGCTGCTGGTTATAATCCATAAATTCATTCCCTTCATCAGAACTCATAGAAGAGCACTTTCTTTTCAGGGTGGAGTTCCAGTGATTCTTAATCGCGTTATCAGTCCGACCCGAAAGGAGTCGGGCTATGGTGGCCCATTTGTTACCAAACTTAGCATGTGCCCTGATGATGGTCTCATCCTCCTCCGGCGTAAAGGCCCGGTGCTCCACCTGTGGTGAAAGCTGGTTACACCACCTCAACCGGCAACTCTTCCCGGATCTCCCCGGTATAGACTTGCTAATCAAGGACCAGTTTCTTGGTCCATACTTTTGCACCAACTGCTGTAGTAGCTCGTCCTCTTCAGGACTCCATGGACCCTTGATCCGATCCATATCCATCTTCTTGCATACAGTAGTTGTATTCGTCATCGCCATTTTTACCAAAAAACATGAAAAAATGAAACCAAGATTTTTTGCTCGAATTATTTTTCAGGTGAAGAAGACGAACAAGAAGAAGAGAGGAGAAAGAAGAAGAAGAAGAAGAGTTACAGAGTCTATACAAGAATGGGGGGTGGGGGTTATATATAGGGAGGGGTGTGAGAAGGGGATAGGAATGAGCGTTACGGGCACCGCTTAAAGCCAGGAAACAAAAGGGAGGCGGTTGATTGATATTTTTTTTTTGTGGGATTTGGGATACAGCTGGAAAACGGACACGCGTCACATCTCATAGACATACTCTCATTTACTAGCGTAACCAACACACTCTCCACTTTTGTCTTTTCTGTCTCTTTTTTTTATTTATTTTTTGTTAATCTACCGGTAAATTCAAACTACTACAAAGATAAAAGAACTGTTGTATTTTTGTAATGACCTGGTTACGTTAACGCCATGTTTGATGGTCATTATTCGGCAAAAATAAAGTTTTGAATAGTGAATTTTTAGAGAGTGTATAGTTAAAAAATAAGAAAAAATTTTGAATTTACGTGTAAAATATTTTATTGTGTGAATGCATAGTTAAAAATGAGCATGTAGAAAAAAAAAGATTTAAAATAAATTCCATCAAATGGGGGCAAATTGTAATGACCTGGTTACGTTAACGCCATGTTTGATGGTCATTATTCGGCAAAAATAAAGTTTTGAATAGTGAATTTTTAGAGAGTGTATAGTTAAAAAATTTTTGAATTTACGTGTAAAATATTTTATTGTGTGAATGCATAGTTAAAAATGAGCATGTAGAAAAAAAAAGATTTAAAATAAATTCCATCAAATGGGGGCAAATAACTGTCTTTAGTTCAATTTAAAAATTCATAATTGGAGAAAATACATTGATTTGACTTATCAATTAATTAAACATGTTAATATCATAATAACACAATTTGTAATCACAATCATGTACCGACACAAATTGCACAAAGTCACAATTACATATTGAATCGAAAATCGCACATTTTTTATATTACACATTATTTATCGTCACAATTAACACCGTCGTTACCACCACCTCCTCAAATATACCATCACATCCAGATCCAACCAACCATACATACACGTACAGCCAAAGATGCAACGACCCCACCGTTACCACCTGCACCAACAACCACCACTACTATCTCCTCAAATTCACCATCACCTTCATCTTCATCCCAGTACCACCCCAAGCATCACAATTACGCATAGAAACATAATCAGAAATGCAACAATGCACCTCTTCACACAAATCACACAACCAGAGATGCTATCAAATAGCATAGTAGGAGCTTCATTCACCTCTTTTATGCGCAGCAACAGAACGTCGTGTTCTCAGAATAATGCAGCTGGCTTGTGCCGATGGTGATTTAACCTTTGGAACGTTCCCTAACAGTGCAGTACAAGACACATTTACCGCATTGCACGGTGGAGTTCAGGAAGGATATGGATCTCGATCTCGAATCTTCACGTTCATCGAATAACATTTTTGTAATCATGTTCACCTCTATGATGTGACTGGTTGGGTTCAAGAGTGGTAAAAGTGGTACAAGCGAGTGGTGAGCCGTGGGCGACGATGGAGATGATTTTTGAGAATGAGAGATCTATTGTTGGCAAAATTGAATTGGAGACCGGTGGGTGGTGGTGGATTGGGTGGTGGTAGGCAACAATAGTGGTAGTGATTGGCAGAGTAGTGTGGCGAGCAATTGTTGTGGGTGGGATGGGGGTGAGGTAGAGGTAGAGGTAGAGGTAGAGGTGTAGTATATATCTGATTTTCAAAAGAATATAGTTAAAAATTGATTTTTGAAATGTTAAATTAAAAATGGGTAGGTGTAATTTCCCTCCAATCAAATTTCAAATCATCACGACAAATCAAATTAATTTGACATACGAACTCCACTTCTAATTGATTCTATTTAAACTCAGGGATGAGAACGTGGTAGGAAGGCCATCCTCGTCCCTTCTCCATCAGGAGGTAGGAGGGGGACGAGTCGGATTATCACCACTTATTATTTTAGACATTAATAACTGCTCTTAGTTTACTAATAGATCCATAATAATCACATCCTTAATCATCACAACAAGTAAAACTCCACTTCTAAACTTTAAGATGGCAACGTGGCCGGATATCATCCCTATCCTTACCTCGTTGGCAACATTAATGACTGCTTAATATTAAATCTATAATATATTAAATATCACATGAAGTGAGAATAATTTTTTAAACGATTATAGCTCTACTACAATTCAATTATTTCAATAATATCTTATTTTTCGTTTTTCAATATGTATTTAATTTATAAACTGTAATAAATATTATAATTAATTCTCGATTAATTAACATTAATATTTACATTCATTTAATTAATATTAATTAGAATTTCACGTCCATGTCCATGTCCATGTCCATGTCTTTGTTATTAATAATTAATTAACATTCACATTTATTTAATTAATATTAATCAGAATTTCTCATTTAATAATGTAGTTCATTATTCACGTCCATATATGTTAATTAGCATCCAATTTATTTTAATTAAAAATTAAATTATATTCATTTAATATAAATGATTTAATATTCATGGGTCTTAATATTAAATTAATTAACATTCACGTTAATTCATTTATCGTATTTGTCATCCATCTTCATTTATGCATTTAATTGTAATTCTAATACTTACATTTAAATATATATTTCACTATTTATGTACATATAATAATTAATATTTACTTTCAGAAACTTGCATTTCTCTTATATTTAGATTAAAATGGTAAATAAAGGATCAAATATTATTTTTACAGCACTTATAAAGTATTTTAGAATAATGTGCAACGCACGTTCAATTCGGACTAGTAAGTTAAAATGCTCATAACAATCACATTCTTAATCACAACAAGAAGTCGGATTAAGAGCTTGTTTGAGAGGGATTAAAATCAGATTAAAATTGAAAATATAGCTATTTTAGTTGACTTTTATTAGCCGAGTGGGACCCAATAACGACTATATTTTCAATTTTAATTAGATTTTAATCATTCCCAAATAAACTCTAATTTAGCACACAAATTCCGCTTCTAACTTATATTATGTAAACTTAGTGAAGGCAATGTGACAGGACGCTCGTCCTCGTCCTTGTCCCTCTGCCCTTGTTGGAACTTTTTCGAGAGGCAGATGCATGACACAGAGAAAAAGTAAAAACACGCTCATTTACCATGCCCATTTAATTAATTATTCATATATTTTTTATGATTTTTGAGTATGACTTAAACTAAAAACATAAAATTTAAAATAAAAATAATTCGAAGGTTTAGAGAATTCAGGGTGAGGACCATGATCCACCTTCCCATCCCATTTATCTTCAAGGATAGGGCAACGCGAGATGGGTTAGGCACTGAATTTTTCTATACCTATGTAAATTGTCTCGTTTAATAAACGAAAACTTCTTTTGGACTATGCAAGACATATTTCAATTACCAAAATCACAAATCTTTTAGTTTATCATCGATATTATTGACATACAAATCTTTTCGTGTGAACAGTGTCAGTTATGCTTTGGTGGTGAAGTTACAAAGCAAGCCCAAACAACGTGTTTAATCTATTCCCATGAGAAAAGGTCAAGCAGGCCGAATGGTAGTCGTAGTAAAAGCCATTGGATGATATGTTGTGAAGGTTTTCTACTTTAATGTGCGAATTGAAAGCTAGTGTTGGCCCTTCTTAGTGGTGGCAATGGGCCGAGCCGAGCCGAGCTCGTGGTTTTTTTTTTTTTTTTTAGTTTTTTTCTCACATTTTTTACGAGCTCGTCAAAACGAGCCTAGCTGGCTCGGCTTGCCTNGAGCTGCTCGTCATATTTTTATTTTTATTTTTTTAAATTTTTTTTAGTTTTTTTCTCACATTTTTTACGAGCTCGTCAAAACGAGCCTAGCTGGCTCGGCTTGCCTAGCGAGCCAGCCTGCTCGGCTTGACGAGCCCGAGCGGCTCAAGAGAGTAGAGCGATTGAGCTGACAACCCACTCTGCTCGATTGTCACTTCTAGCCCTTCCTCCTTTACTAACAAGAAGGCTTGAGATCTCTCTACCTGGTTAATAGGCACGTTACAAATTGTATTTGGATATTCATATCATCTGCTATTAACTATATTCTATAATAAATAATTTTATTTACTCGTATGTTCTTAACTTTTTGCGTCACATTTTTACTCTTTAACCTTCAATTAATTAGCACATCTTGTTTCGACGATGATTGTTGTCCAAGTATTTTATTAACGTAAATTAAAATGAGGGATCAATATTATTTCAACTTTTGTGTTTGTTGTTTATTTTGCTTATTTTAAAATATAATAGACAATAGAGTCTTTATACGCCCTCGTGCCTGAAAATATTAAAGATAAAATTTGAAATTAATGAAATGTTTAAAATATAAATAAAGTGATGCACATATTCGTGTGGACATGCAAACTGTCACACTTGTTCTAGTCGTTAACTAGTTCATATATATAACATGTAAGTTTATTTATTAATCTTTTATATGCTGGTAAGATAGATAATTTATGACCATCTAAGTCATAAAAAAAAAAAAAAGTCATTATATTATGAAATCAATCAAACAAATCCAAAAATACGTCGGTCCATGAGCTCGACTCGTGAAAAAAAAAGTTCGGATCAATAGATGACTCGTCTCAAAACGAGTCTGAATTGCTCATAAATCGAACAAATACGAATCGAATTCGAACTCATATGTCACCGCCTAAAGACCACTCTACCCTAATAAATGATTCCACACCACCAAAACAAAACGATAAGATCATAACGGTTGGGAGAATGAAAAATAAAAAATAAAAAATAAAAATAGAGAGAGAGAGAGAGAGAGAGAGAGAGAGAGAGAGAGAGAGAGAAGGCGATAAGCTGTGAGNGAAAAAAATGATAAGGTCAAAATTGGGCTAAATTAAAAAAAAAAAAATAAAAATAGAGAGAGAG